GTGGTCTGAGCTTGTTACGATTTTGCCTGGGGGGGATGTCCCCACAGAGGCATCACCTGTCCTAATGCCAGAACCCAGTCCCTGGCTGGGGGTGCCAGGCCCCAAGACCTTACTATATTCCACAGTCCACTCTCCAGAAACGCATGAAAATTCAAACACCAACAGTCATGAAACCTTGGCACCTACAGAAAGCAAACGCCCCCTCCCTGTACCCCTAAAATCTCGTTAATCCTGCCTGCTGCTACTGCCTCCCCACCCCTCCAGCACTCCCATTCAAAATCGATATTTTAAGTGTGTGCTTAAATGGTATCAATAGCAATTAGAGGAGGGGAATTCTGATCCCAGCCCAGAAGTAGTTAATTGTCCCATCGATTGGCTCGGCCATGACTTCTCACTTCAAATTAACCCTCCATCACCAAGGGGGGTGTCAAAGGCACCGTTTTATCTCTATACCCCCCCACGAGAAATTTAATATCGAGTGTGTGGGGTGTGGGGAATGGGAGCTGCTGCAGAATTCATCTGAAAAGATGTCTCCCTCTTCCTGGGAGTAATTAAAAGATGCTTTTCTTGACTAATGAGTCCCCTGTTTAGGAATGGCCGTCAATACCGGCTCTGCGGTCGTCAGCTTCGATTGATCACGCTGCGGCTCGACCTGGAATGGCAGTTCTCAGGGCGGCCGGCGATCGCGGGAACCAATTATACGCTGTCCAAGGCTGGCTCGCCGGGCACAGGGACGGCCAGCAGAAGGCCGGCCAGCTGCTCAAAGGCGCCTGCTTCCTAACTGGCCCTCGGCTCTGGGAGATGCAGAGGCACCCTGTTTCAGGCTCTGGTGCTTTCTGGGGAGGCAGATCTGTCCTGCTCAGGGCGGGGTTAGCAGTAAGCAGGTGTGCACAGGCTTGCGCCAGGCGAGGTATGCAGAAGGGTCAACACGCTTCCTGACGGGTATGTGGGGAGCAGGCCTCTCATGGTGTTGGGGGGCAGGCCGCTGACGGCGTGGGGGGCAGGACTCTGAGGGCGTGGGGGGCAGGCCGCTGATGGCGTGGGGGGCAGGACTCTGACGGCGTGGGGGGCAGGACTCTGATGGCGTGGGGGCAGGCCAAGCTGTGGCCTGGTGGGCAGGTGCATGTGTATCAGTGTGCACTGTGCTCACTGGGTAATCGGGCCCTACCTTCACTCTACTTGTCTATGGGAGGAGGAGGGATGGGTGTGTATGGCGGTGTGTGTGTGGGAGGAGTGATGAGAGACAGAGAAACTAGGCAAAGAGAAGGAAAGACAGAGAGAGGAAAGGGCGAGAGAGGCGTGGAGAGAGGAGTCGGGCAGGGAGAGGAAGACGGGAGGGCAAGAAGGGAAAGACAAGACGGAGAACAGCAAGCACCGGACCCGGCTTCCTGAGCAAAGGCTTTTCCAGAAAACCAGACTGAAAACACTATGGCACTTGGCTTTTCCTTCTAGAGGAAAATGTACCCCAATATTTCCTGTACAGTTTTCGGGGCACACCGAGAGTGCCCTGCGTCCGTTCCCACTTGCGAGGCCGGCCCTTCCAGGATGCCCAGGCTGAGCTGGGCCGTCCTCCAGCCCCGGAAGGTGGGGTCTAGACTCGAGGTCCACTCTTGCCTCAGGACCTGAATGTCAGGGGACCCCCAGCTCCAACCCGAGAGCTGAAGGAATGAGACGGTGGGTGCAGGGGGTCACGGTGCTGGGAGTGGGGCTGAGCTGCGTGTGGTGTTTTAACACGAACCGGCTGTTTGCTGTGGGAGGGTTGGCTCGGACTCAGGACTCCTGGAGACCCCGCTGCCCCGTCCCGACCCGCAGGGGCTTCACGGCCATTGGCAGAGCCCACCCCTGCGGCCACCCGTATGCTCACAACCCCTCCCTCCTGCACGGTACTGGGCGGGGCCGGCTGTCCACAGGCACTGGCTAATTTTCAGAATTGAACAGAGTCCCAGATTAAGAACTAGTTCTGTCCCTAAGTCTGACTTTAGTTTAATTCACCCAGTTAGCGGTGGTTCATATCCAAGGCCAGTGAGTCAAGTGTTTGTGTCAGTGTCCAGACCCAGTGGGGCTGCAGTCTGCAGGGAGCCTCAACCCTAACCCAAAGGAGCTCGGTTCAAATCCACCAGAGGCTCCTTGGGAGAAAGGTGGCGACCTCTGCCTGTGTGATTTACAGCTTCAGAAACCCAACAATGGGTTGTTTCAGGGTCAGAACCAACTCTGCGGCTGCGCAGGGGGGGACACGTGGGAATACAGTGGCCCTGCCTACACCGGACACTGGACAGACACCTGTCACGGGCATCAGAGGTGGACCTCAGCTCGACGCTGTGTTGTGGGCAAATGAAACTTACAGACCTCCGGAAAGAACTCGTTCTTAATCCAGACTCCCTCCACTTCCGAAAATGGAGACAGGAGGGATATCATGTTGGAAAGGTGGAGGGTCAGTGAAGAGGGAGACTCTCAATGACACGGACGACGGTGACAGCAGCGATGGGATCAAGTGTGTCCGAGAGGATGAGGACGGTGCAGGACAGGGCAGGCTTCAGGTCTGTTGGTCGCTGGGTCGCCGTCACTCGACGGCTCTTACCAACCATGTGCCTTCAGCAGCACACAGCAGCCTGTGCTAATGCCTCCCCGTGTTCCAAAGGCGGCCAGCTTTGCTCTGTTCTTGGCCTCACTCACCCTTCTCTCACCCTCCCAAGGGCTCAGCTCCGTGGGTGAGGGCTCCGGGATTCCCACCTGCCCTCCAAGGCTGCTGGGAGGTGAAGTCAGCGGGACGGCAGTGGGCGGGTGTGAGAAGGGAAGACGCTGGCATGTGTCCCTGCAGAGATCTCACATTCACAGCCTCAGATGGAAGAGGATGAGACAGTCAAGAACGCAATGCACACCAGCTAGTGGCCGCCGTGTCTCTCTAAGCCCTGGAGACCCAGGGACCCCGTGCCCGCGCCATCCTTATCATCTCCGTGCTGAGCCTGCTGCTGCAGCCACCCAGGTCTTCCTCCTCCTCCCAGACTCTCGACTTTTCCAAGCACGACACCCTTCTCCAGGGACTAGTCCCTCAGAAGAACATGGCCAAAGTACGAGAGGTGAAGCCTTACTCCTTGCTTCTCAGATCTTTTTACAAGACATTTGTTAAACCAATGAGAACGAGAAAATATTTGTACAGTTTTAGGAATAAAGATGAAATGAATATAAAATATGCATCAGCTAAAAAATATTTATCATTTGTTTCTAAACATTCTAAATTGCTTGACTAACTAGAATAAATAGGAAAACTAACTTTTCTAATTAACTTATTATATTAAGGATACACGTACCCAGATACATTCTTTTTGCACAAGATGTATGCATATACAGCACATTATTTTTCCCAACTTATTTCAATTTTTCTAAATACATAAATTATTTTCAACACAAATCCCAACTACTTTTCATTTCCTGACCTGAAGTTTCCTTCAAGGATACTGTATCTAATAAAAAGTGGTTATTAGGCTGACAATTAATCTTTTGAAAAGGCTCATAATTGATGCCCCAGCTGACTTCCATATGGCGGTGTCAAATGTATCAAGATCAGTTTCAAAGTTTATAATTTCCTCTATTTATAATATTGTTGCTCACGTGGATACTTCATTATAGATCTCACATGTGAAGAATGCACGTCTCACATGGATGAAACTTTAAACAACAAACACAGTCGCACCTTCCTGCCCTCCCCAGACACCCAGCAGGTGCACTGGGATTCCCACACTGGCTTTGACCTCGAGGATGAACCCTGGTAGAACCACAAACTCACTTTTCAGGGCTAGTGAAATCACACCCACCTACCAGGACTGTTACATTTTATTCTCCAGTCAGAGACCAATTTCTCATCCTTTACTTGAGTCCTAACCCAACAATCGCCTTGGGATTTCACTGTGCCTGTTCATCATTAAGAGGGACTTACAGGGTGCTGCTACCACCGGGGCCAGTCCCTGGAGGGGCCAGTCTCCGGAGAAGAGCATCATGCTTGGGAGAGTAGAGGGTCGGCAAACAACAGGAAGACCTCCAGCACGCTGGACTGACACGGTGGCTGCAGCCACGGGCTTGAATGTAGCGACGCGCGTGAGGGTGGCTAGGACCAGGTAGGACTGAGTTCTAGTTACGTGAGGCTGCGGTGAGCCAGCCATCTCCATGGTACCTGACAACAACCATGGGAGACGCTCTCCGTCCCTGTGTCTCTTCACAACCAGGGGAGGGAATAATGAGCGGAAACCCCCAAATCTAAGGCGTGACTTCATGCTTCATCCTCAGTGTCTGAGCTACAGCAGAGGTCATGAGCCTCGGCTGGCCACAGGGAGCAGGTCTGGAGCAGAGCAGAAGCTCCATCTAAGAAAGGGGACCTCTGAGCAGACACGCTTTCCTCACCTCTTAGTCGCATTAAATATGCATGCACTCTCAGAAACGGCTTATCATCGCTGAGAGTGAAAAATGAGAAACTAAACGGCCTCCAAAGAAATGCAGTTTTCCTCACTGGATAACAATTAACATTAATGAGGAACTCACCATACGTTATACCATACTTGGTTGATGAAACGTGCGGCAAGTGTATTTTTACAATAGAACATATTTTGTTACCATGAGCTTGGTTATTTAGGGGTGTTGAGATGGCAGCAGCACTGGCTGAAGCCGTAAGAGATGCTCGCCAAAGACAAAGAGAACAGAACGCAGGAATCACACATCCCTGACCAGTGCTCCAGCACACGTATTAATTAAAGTAATATGTTCACAAGATTAGAAAGGTAAGAGGTTTCCAAGAAGCAGAAAGGAACCCCAAAGGCCCAAAACAAACAACAAATTAAGGCGTGTGCATTATCCACAGCTGCTGAAGATCACATTTACATACATCACATTTACATACACCCCAAGCTCACTGACCCGCACTCCTCTATCAGTGGCCAGGGCTCTTCCCGGGCGCTGACATGAGGCATTTCTGACACTCCCTGCGGGTACCGCACCCCCAGAGGACCCACCTTGTGGAGTCTAGTGAGGGTTTCGTCCGGCCTTGGCTGCTCTCTTCCCAGATGCTGTTGGCCAGCTCATTGCCAATGGACGACATCACTCTGATGAGCTCAATGGGCCAGTCGTCCAGGTCCAGAGATCGGACTCGGGAGAGGTGGGTGCCGAGATTCCGGTGGATCCCTGAGCACTCGATGCACATGAGGGCGCCCAAGTTCAAGCTGGCCCAGTTAGGATCTGCGGGAAGAATCGGGAGCCAATCAGGACCGACGCCAACACTCGTGGATTCCAAAGGAGCCTCCAGGTCACGGTCAACACCCAGCAGTTCCCTTCTTAGACTCAAGGGCGTGCACCCTGTCCTCAAAGACTGCACAGGTCGGGGTGGCTTCCAAAACAGAGTTAAGCCCAAGTCTGCTCCACGGGATGACGGGAGTTCCTGCTCTTTCTCACACAATAAATAACTAGAAGTGTGGACTCAGATAGAGGGGTACAGTTTCCAGTATATCACTACCACCACTCAGCTCAAGAGGGCAGATGGTCACGGAAACACCTGAGCATGAAGAGGCATCCACTGCGAACGGCTCTTCGTACAGGTGTGATAAGAGGTATGAGGGGCAGATGGGGGCTGTGCAGGCATCACGTCACCCCAAAGCTGTTGTACCACTCACAGCCATGTCTACAATCACTGGCACATAATATCTCACTAGTCACACAAATGGACAAGTCTGAAGAGGGACATACCAAGCAAAGATAGGGTTTCCCAAGATCTTAATTAGGGGAAAACCACTGGAAAAAACCTCCCTTCTCCACTCCTCCCTGCGGGTCAGAGAGTGGCAGGGGGTTCTGGTTAATCATGACCCGATTTCATCAACCTTTCCTTAGGGGGTGAATGACAGTGTGGCTTTAGGCTGTGACAGTGGACCGAGGATATGCTTGCACAGGACAATAAGCAGCACTGGGCCCCCTGAGCTGGGTCACTTACTGTGTGAAACTGGTTGACATCATCAGAAGACCCATGACATTGCTTCATGCTAGATCTACAGAGGGCGCTCCGGTGGCCCAGTGGTAAGAAGCTGCACTGTCAGCCTGAAGGTTTGCTGTTTGAATCCACCAGCTGCTCCACAGAAGAAGGATGGACAATCTCCTCCTGTGCGATCTAGAGCCTCTGAAAACCCACTGGAGGGTCAGCTACGAGTCGGTTCCAACTCAGTGGCCCACGACAGCAATGGCTTCTACAGAAGATGCATCAGCTTCAACTGTTAGTGATAGGCAACACTGACAAAAGCCAGTAAGGCAAAAATCATCGGGAAGAGTCGACATTTCCTCCTGGTACTCAAGATCTGCCCCCCTCACCCCAGGAGCGGGGTCCTGTTCACTGTGAATCACCCCGTCCTCTGTTCTGTGAAGGGCCAATGACCAGGGGTGGCTGATACTGCGCGATCAGGAATCAGCCAACCCTTCACTGAATATCTAATATCTTACTGAGGGGGGACAGACCACCCGGTGGACCCAATAAGAGGGAGTTCTATGATGTCAGAGAGGCTCTACCTGGGAAGGAGAAACTGGCCCCAAAACAAAACGAAGGAAATCCGGAGGCAGGGAGCCAAGGAGCGGGGTGACGTGTAAGGGCGGCAGCATGGTGAGGAAGAGGAGTGACGGTGGACCAGAGCGGGAGAGGGCGGGGAGGAGGAGCAGCTCGGCCTGGGCCTTGGAGATGCTTTGGGAAGAGGGAGGGGGGGGTGAACAACTCCAGTAAAACCAAGACCCCCCTTCACCTCCAGCTCGCGTCTCCACGCCTGGCCCACCTTCCTGGGAGACACAAGGTGTCCCTGCACCTCACAATGCCATGTGCAGCCTGGCCTCCACCTACCCCTCCACCAGAACGAGTCAAAGTCAGCAGCTTCCTTCAAAGGACCTTTGCTGGTCGTGTCATTATTTCATCTCTTGGTGACAGTCAATGGTCCCTGATAATTCCCTCCTGTAATTCCCAATGAAAAGTGAACCTCTTGCCATCAAGTCAGTTTCAGTTCACGGGGCTCATGGATCACAGAGCAGAACTCGGCTCCCCAGGGCTTCCTCGGGTGCACATTTTGGGCAGGAGATCATCAGACCCTCCCCCCACTGGGTGCAGACCTCCAATGCCCAGGTGAGCGGCTGAGGGGAAAGTGGGGCTTGCCCACTGGTCTCTCCCCACAACGCACCTTCTCATTCCATCTGGGTCAGCACCCTCTCAGGATTCTCTAGATTCTTCTCCCATGTCTCCGAGAGCTTCATCTTGATTTCTTTCCAAGCATTTCCACCTAAGCCCATCCTTTAACTCAGCGGCGCCTCACACATTTGCCTCTTGCAGGCAAACTCGTCCCAGGTCACAGGTCTAGTGACCTCCCGTCCCAACACTTCTCTCCGGGCGCCGCCTGGACCTTCCTCATCCCAGCCAAGGGCACAGCGCCTGCCCAGGTATTCAAGTCAGGTCTGGGAGACCAATCTTGTGTTCCCTTCATTCCCACAGACTATCATGAAGTTCTCATTTTCCTCAAATCCAACTTCCTTCTTATCTCTACTGATCATATCTACTGATATACCTGTTTTTAAAAATTTTATTGTGATTTGAGCAGAAGTTTGCAGAGCAAAGTGGTTTTCACCCATTCAGACGTGCCTAGTGTGCTGACAGTCGAACCTCACTTCCTTCTCCCTCCCTGTACCTCCCCTTTCCTCTTGCCCCTCGTTCTCTCGCTTCCTGCCTTCCGAACTTCCTCCCTGGACAAACGCAGTCCCTCACCCTTGTAGGGCCGACTGGTCTAAGAAGTGCCTTCATCTTGGCACTGTTGTCTCACAGGCCTGGCCGCTGGTTGGCTGTGAACCCCCAGTTGAAGGCTGACATAATCTAGAATCAGGCTGATGGCGGTGGATTTTGGTTTCTGGTTTAGCTGCAAGCTGGGGTCACAGGGTTGATGTCCGTTCTGAGCTCGAAGGGAGGTTCCAGGCCATAGTTTCAGCAGTTTTGAGTTCTGGGCCACATTTTTTCCCCTACTTAATCCAGGACCTTTCATTGTGATCCACTTCAAAGCAGTCAGCACTGGTCACCGGGCACATCCAGTTCTGCTTGCAGGGCCCGGGGACCGGAAATTAGCTCAGTCCACTAGTCCTTTGAACCAATAGTCTTTGATTTTCTTCTTTGCTTCATACAGGGAAAACCAAGAGTTGCACCTTTAATGGCTTCTTAAAAGCATTGAAGACTCCAGTCGCTACTCACAAAATCTCCCTCTAGAACAAGACTAAATCTCCCTCTAAACAAGACTAAAACATATGCATAACATGAACATGTAAGACTGCCAGGTATCCAGATTTGCTATGATCTGACCCTTCAAAGACAGCTGGAATTAACATTCTGGAACTTACCCTTATGGCTTTTCTCCCCTGAAAAGTACCTTAGATGATTCTTTGGGGTCTGCCTGACTCACAGACTTTCTCCACCTCAAATCGTAGATTTTAATATTCTTTTTGGAGGCTGTATATTATTTCCCCAAGCAGGGCCACTTCCATTTGCTTAGCAGCTTGTGGCAGGGAGTGACACTGCCAACCCAAAGGCACACGGTTCAAATCCACCATCTGCTCCACAGAAGAAGGATCGGCAATCTCCTCCTGTGTGATTTACTGCCTCTGAAAACCCCCTGGAGGGCTGCCATGAGTTGGTTCTGATTCAACAGCAAATGTTCTGGTAAGCAGATAACACTGTGGCAAACACTGCCGGGCCTGACTCGTCCACTCCCATCAGCCTGTCCCTGGTGGTGGACACTGGAGTTAGGAGTTCGTCTACGTCTCCATCCATGCTGTGCCGTGGATGTATTTACACATCACCATCAGCTGGCAGGTGACACAGTTCCCAACACTTTCACCATAACTGGCTATTTTCACTTTCCCAAAGCTTCCCCGCTGTATGATCTCTGCTGCCCTTCATCTCAGCCGCCCTGGGGGCTCCAGCTTCTGTTCTTGGCGGAAACACAGCAGACGAGCAGGCAGAACTCGGAGTCCACCATACACCTTGCTCTTCTGTGACCTGGGATAAACTGCTTGACCTCTGAGCCCTCACATTTCCTCATCTATGAACTGGCACCAACCAGGACAGTGGAAGAACCGAGGAGAGAGGACAGGTGTGAGGACAGTACTGGCCCTGAAGGGATGGGAATGTTTCAGGAAAGATGCTGGCGATTCTTCTTCTTCCTGAACCACCAGACTTGCCACGTTTGTTCTGTGGACTCTGCATCTGTCAGCTGTCCTCATCTAAACAAACCATCCCACTGCCTCCCCTGAAGAGCCTGCCTTTCTGACTCGCCTCCCTCACCTGCCCCTCCAGTCTCATAACTGGCAAGCCAGATTTTGTCACGCTCTTGTGTCTTTTCCAAAAGGTCCGTGACAGCTTCGTAACTGCCAAACGCCAAGTTCCTTCATCTGCTCTGCTCTTCTCCACCTCTCTGACCATCAGCATAATTCAAACCTGGCCACTTCATCACTGTAGCCATTTGTGGAGCTACAACGATCAAAGGCTCCGGGCGTCCAGTCAATCCACAGTGACCATCTATCTGGCTTCCGAGGCTGTAAATCCTTATGGGAGGAGACAGACCAGCTTCATCCTGAGAGCAGGCGGTGGCTTCAAACTGTTAACCTTCCAGTCAGGAGCCCTACGGATGACTCACTAACTTCCAGGGGTCCTTTCTAGGTACGTATTAAGGCAATCCTAAACCAACTAAAAGACATGCAACTGTCTCTTTGACAGGAAACTTGAGACACAGCACCAAGACCACTGCTGGCATCTCTGCTGACAGGGTGTCACAGACATCTGTCCAAATGCTGCCCATTTCCCAGTGCCACCACTAAATGTCCACAAGTCATTAAAAACAAGCCCCAACATAAGAAGTCCTGGCCAAGGCAGTATCACTGACACTGTCCTCAGAGAAAGGCAGACATCAATTCTACTAAAACAAGTGCAGAACTCAGAAAACCAGGGGGATATCCCTTAATTCATTCTCCAAAGAAAATGTAAGCCTGATATCAAAGCCAAGGGCGTCCCTAAGAAAAGGATAGTTCAATATTCCTCACAAACATAATCAACAGAACCCAACATCAAGCTAAAAAAAGAATACCTCATGACCAAATGGGACTCACACTAGTTATGCAAGGAAGGGTCTAGATTAGACAAACTATGAATGAAATCCACCACAGAAATAAGAAACACACAGTCATCTCAGGAGATGCACAAAAGCCAGGTGACAGCATCCAATACTCATTCCTGATAAAAACTCCCAGCAAAATAGGAACAGAAGGGCCGCCACTCAACACAAATAAAGGAATGGACACGAGACCAAGGTCAACAGCTGTCTCAACGGAGAGAGACGGAAAGCGTTTCCCTTGAGAACAGCAAGGCCGTCTGTCAGCACTTGTCTTCAATCCCGTAGCAGAAGTCACGGTCAGAGCAGTAAGGTAAGAAGAGACAGAAAAGGCCTCCAAACTTGTGAGGCTGAAGTAAATGATTTCCTCTGCAGGTGTGGGGTCCGTACACGGGAGCTCTGACGGTGGAGCCCTTAAGCGGCTATGCTGCTAGCACCAAGGTCGTGTGCTTCTCTGGAGCTTTGAATCCGCCAGTGGCTCAGAGAGGGGAACATGGACATTCCCCTACTGTGCAGTGGACAATACTGGAAAACCCACTGGACGATCAACTATGGTTGGTTCCAGCTCAAAATGAGACAGAGAGTGTGTGTGTGAAAGAGGGGGTTCTCATATACAGAAAACACCAGAGGCTCAGTAAGAAAGACACTGGAACTACTAGAAGGACCAGCAAAGTGCCAGGGTACAAGGTCACCATGCTGTTGTTATGTGCCATCGAGTCACCTGTGACTCACAGTGACTATAATATCTCTGAATGCTGCTCTTTCCTGAGCCCATCTCCTTGTCTCTGACGGACCTAATCTCATTGTTCCAGTCACTGAGTCAATCCATTTCACCCTGGTTCTTCCTCTCCTGCACTGTCCCCTCACTCTTCCAAGTATGATGTTCTTCTCCAAGGACTGGTCCCTCCTGGCCACGTGTCCCGACCACGTGAGACGGAGCTTCAACATCCTAGCCTTCAGGGAGCAGCTTGGTTTCACCTTCTCTAGGACAGACCTGCTTTGTGCTGGCAGTTCATGAAGGTTCCCATAAAACTTACTAATCAACTGTAATTACTGTTAATAATAAAAACAGCCACCGATGACTGAATAAAAACCTAATACGGTTGGTTGGTTCACGCAAATAAAATGAAAAAGAAAAAAAATAAAATCCTAATGAAATAAACAATTAAAAAAATCAGTATGATCCTTTACACTAATAAAACGGTCTCTGAAAAGGAAATCAGGAAAATAAAATACAAAAGCCATGCAAAAGATGAAGGACTTACGTATAAAACGAAATAGAAACAAGAACATCTAAAAACAACAATAAAACCCCACGAAAGACGGTTATCGAACACCACCTGAGACTTATGTAAATGGGAGACCACACCACGCTCATGGGTGGGAACCCTGAAAATGTCAGTGACATGCAAAGAGACCTGACGGGGAAATGTAGCCTCGGCTATAGTCCAGTCATACTCTTCAAAGAGGAAAAAAGCTTTAAACCCCTTTACATGGCAAGAGAAGAGATGCTCAGAGAAGTAGAGCCCTCCTGGGCAGGGACAGCAAGCAGAACATCACATCTTCTATCGGAAAACCAGAGCACCGCACAGGCGCTTGTGGTCAAACCCGCTTAGGACTGCGGCTCGACAGACAAAGAGACCAGTGGGCCAGGCCAAGAGCCCGCCCAGCGGGCCAGGCCGAGAGCCTACCCGGCAGGCCAGGCTGAGAGTTTACCTGGCCGGCCAGGCCGAGAGTCCACCTGGCCGGCCAGGCCGAGAACCCACCGACGGACAGCTGGACTGCAAGCAACAGAGAAATGATGTCTGTTTATCAAACAGTGTGGCAAAACTAGATATATCCTGCAGAAAAATGAAGCAGAATCCTACCGTAATGCCATATAAGGAAATAACTCAAGTTGGGTTAGAGAGCTAAGCACAAAACTTTAAACAATAAATGCCATCAAAGGAAAAAGAGATGCTGCCTTTGCCCGGCCCCTGGCGCCCCGGTCGCTATGGTCACTCTGCAGTGACCCACAGGCTCGCGGTGGCTGATCTGCAGAAGTGGATCACCAGGCTTCTCTACCTCGTCTTTCTCAGTCTTAGAAGCCCCTCTGAAACCTCTCACAAGCTCCGGCTGACAGGGGTGTGGCTGGGAGTGAGGTGAACTGGCTGGGATCTGCCTGGGTCTCCCGCTCGGAAGGGGGTCATCTATCTATTCAGCTTCTCACCAAGGTGGGGGTTGGGACCTGACAAAGACAAGTTACCGCTATCAAGCTGAGGCTGACTCACGGTGACTCCCAGGCATTTCTGAGGCTCTAGGCTCTTAACAGAAGCCGCAAGCTTCATTTTTCTCTTTGGGCGCAGCTGGTGGATTCGAACTGCTGACCTCTGGGTTGGCAGCCTAACGCTGGACCTGCTTGGCCGCCATAGCTCCCAAGCCCACCGCCGTAAGAGCTCCTGAGGCACACAGGCAGCAGCCCGCCTCCCTCGGCCCGGCCGCCCCTCAGGGTGCACACTTACTTGGAGTCTCGCAGTCCACACAGTGCGAATTCCCTCTGATGTTTCGGATGGACTGCAGGGCCATGGCCTCGCTCTGGCTGGTCAGCCGGGACTGGACAAAGAAAAACAAGAGAGCTCTACCGATCGAGAAGTCAGACAGACAAGGGACAGACAGAGGACATGGGGCCTTCCCACAATGATCACTTCTCCAATGTCTTTGGGGAAAAGGGGAATGGACGGAGAGCTCATTCTTGGGTGCTCCAGGAACAAACATCAAAACTGATCTGAGGAGACCAGGCCCGCTCATAGAGGCAAGAGGCAGGTCTGGATCATGTGGGAATGAACGGAGACCCTGGGCCACTTGGTGGACGTTACTGGTCGACGCGCTTTGCCTGCCGTCCGTCTGCTTGGTATGAAGATAAAGAATAAGCAAAGAATAATCTGCTTATAAGCCAAGGGTCAGGGCTTAATCAGGGCTGGGCGACGTATCTCATGACTCTCATCAGAAAACCACGTCCATGCCACACATCACCCCTTGGAGACTCACTTTTCATTTCCAGACAAGCTCAGTTGCCACAGCAACAAACTCCCTGCAGGTCTGAGCACAAAGGGGGTAACTAGGCGGCCTGGAGGCGGGGAGGGCAGTGGACAAGGCCAGGCCATATACTGCTTCCCAAACCCACACGCGGAGTCATCTTAAAAATCAGAACCACCACCCGTGCTGCTTGCTGCAGAAAATGCCAAAAACTGGCGGAGGGAAATGCAGCTACCAAAGCAGCATAAATGGAGGACAACCACCACAGTTCAACTACTAACAGCCTGGCAGTGTTCTAGCCCTTTTCCCGAAGGACACAACCCCATATACATCCACACGCAAAAACTCTGCCTTCAGTGCCATTGTGTAACTGCCTCCCTGGCCAATCAATGGCTGTGTAGTATCCCACTGAAGACAAGTTCTTTATCACTTCTCCTAAACTCGAGCCAGTGCCAGGAGAAATGCACTGAAATTGCATTAATTTGTGATTATTGACTGACGCAGGTTCTTGCTAGGTAGATACAGTTAATCTGGCCACTAACGCTCAAACTACCTAGTCAACTCCAGACGCCGACAGCTTGGATTTAGGCAGGAGACCTTCCAAGTTGAATCCCTACACCAAGACTCATAGGTGTGGAATCAGCGTTGACTCTTAGTGAGAACAAGGCAGAGTAAAACTGCTCGTGAGATTTTCAGACGCAGTCATCTTTCCTGGAACAGATGCCGCATCTTTTTCCCTGAGTGGTTGACAGGTTTGAACAACTGACTTTTCAGTTGAGAGTTGAGCACTTACCCACTCGGCCTGCAGGGCTCCTCTAAAGGGGACCTCTGTGTCAAACTGTCTCTTGTGAAACAGTTTACCATTTACCACAAAGTATTGGTAATTTATAAATTCTTACTGTTAGATGTTGCAAAGCAGCCTCCAACTGCAGGCCGCTGTTATGTACAATATAACAGATTGTTGTTACTACTACAACAGAACAAGATCCAACTCTACACCTGCCTCGCAGTTTCTGCTGTACTTAAACGCCGCTGGCGTCACTGTGTTGATCCATCTCACTGAAGGCCTCCCTCACTTATGCTGACTCTCTACTTCATCGTCATCCACACATGACGACCTTCTCCAGGGACTGGCCTCTTCTGACATGTCCAATATATGTTAAGACAAAAATGTCACCATCCTTGTCTCCAAGGAGCAGCCTGGCTGCACTTCCAACACAAACTTGTCTCTTCTTCAGCAGCCCGTGGGATGTTCAGTATTCTTTACCAACGTCCTAGTCCCAAGGCACGGATTCTTCTTCCTCATTCACTGCCCATGAACTGGAGGCTCGGACATACCTCACTCTAAACGGACCTCTCTCCAGCATTTTAACGAGTCGTGGGGAGCAGGGTTGAACACTGCACCACGTCTCTTGTTGCTTCCACAGATGTTGATGGTGGATTTCAGTACAATGCAATCCTTGACAGTATCACTCTTCAATTATCATGATGTTTGTCGGTCTAATTGTGAGAATGTCTGTTTTCTTTGCATTGAGGTATAATTATACTGAAGGCTACAAGTTTTTAACTTCATAATTTATTAACTGTGATTGTCTAATTAAGCTCTTGAGGAATAGTGGTAGTAGTTGCACTGCCAACCCAAAGGCATGGAGTTCAAATCCACCAGCTGCTACACGTGAGAAAAACGGGCAATCTCCTCCTGCGTAGTTAACTGCCTCTGAAAACTCACTGGAGCTGTTAGTTCTGGTTCCAACTCGAAGGCACCTAACAACAACAATTACCTAATTAGCATAAAAGAGTTGGAATATTTTATTTCCTTGGATTACCCAGCTAAGTACACACCATATATATCTAAGAATTTATAGAGTTCTCTTTTACAGGAAAATGTGTCATTCTGAACATCTGGAGTGTGGATAACACACCTGGGGTTATGTCTGCTTGTCTCTGTATAATTATTTATACAGACATCTCTCTCTTTACTGCACTTTAATTTCGTGCAGTACAAACAGTTTGCGGCAGCCCCGTGTCAAGTCTATCAGCACCTTTCTTCCAACAGGATGTGCTCACTCTGTGTCTGTGTGTCCCAGCCTGGCCTCTTTCACACTACTGCCAACCCTTCCATCAAGTCACCGCACACGTTACAGACTACAGCAGTCCATCGACCTGACATTTTGGGAACGGAAACATTTGTGGGAGCCCCCTCGGTGTAGTATCTGCTGTACTGCCGTGGTCTGGGACCAAGTCCCCAGTGTCTCTGTGGTCGGCCTGTGCAGGTCTCCCCTGCCGTGGGCTCTGGAAGACCCTCACAGGGCCCCACCACCTCTGCACTCATTCCCTGCGGTGTCTGTTCTCCCTCAAGCTGCTCCTGGCTGGCCTGGTGTCCAGACCCTGCATGCAGACCCCTGCTCAGCATGTGCTGGGATGCTGGTGGGTGCGGACCCCTGCTCGTCACGTGCCGGGGTGCTGGAGGGTGCAAGTGTGTTGAATGTTCTTGCAGTGTCACAGGAAGGTTCTCCGAGAGAAGGCATCTTCCTCGCACGTGCACCTCCAGGCATGGGAGGAGGGAGCTGTGTGAGGCTGGGACAAGCTACGGAGTGTGGCCAGCATAGGCAGGCAGCCTTCCTGTGTCCCTTGGTCCTGCTCGCAGGTCGTGGACTCGGTGGGTATCTGGATCACTTGTGACGTCCACTCGTCTGGAGGTGCATTTCCCAGTTAGTCCTCGCCTCTCCTGGTCAGAGCTTCATCCCAGCGCTCCGGAGGTGATGTGTGCCACTTCTCCCCACAGACAAGGGTGTATAAAGCACCCCGTTCTCATTTTAGACACTGAGAAGGTAACTGCGTAAGGGTGTGACTCAGGAATGAAAGGCAGCCCTTCTCCCCACCTTGGGTGTAAAACATCTTTGAAAAAGTGAAGCAAATGACATTATAATAACAATGACTGTGGTCTGGTTTACGCTGGTTAAAGAGGGTAATAAAACAGGACACTCGATCTTTGTGAAGGACAGACTCCTTTCTGGATGACAAAGTGGCATGTAAATCATTGCCAGAAGTTTCTTTAAACGGTCCCAGATGGAAGCACAGGTTGGTGGACAGCGTCCTTTTTTATGTTTCTAATTGACAATAGTTTGAAAATGTGAAAGCTCTCTAAGCAAGTGAAGGGTCCCAGCCAAGCGCCGGGGTTTCCAAACATACGTATCTGGAGTCTCCACTGGGAACGGGCTTTTACACAAAGGAGGCACAGTTGTCTCAAAAATGTAGGTGAAAAGATTTTTTTGTTTGTTTTATTTCCCTTCTTAAAACAACAAGAGAGGAATTATCCCTAAGTCTTCAATAAGAAGCCTCTCTGGTTTTTACCAGCAGAGTTTAGAAAATGAACGTTCTCTTCCCAGCACGATGCTACACACACATCCATTTTTCATTTATGACTAACGAAATGGCGTTCAGACCTGACATGTATTAGAACTTGAGTCCTTGGGAAGACTGAACAGTGCAAGTTCCAAGTCCATGATTCTTGTCCCTGCATCTCCTCTGTCGAAAACCCGAAGTTTTTTAAAATGTGCAGATTTAAGGCACCTGAACCCAAAGGGTTCCCTCAGTTACCATCAGAGATCAGCGTTCAACATCTGGGATTATTTTCAAGAATACTTAGTTAAAATGGGACATTCTTTGCTGTGGGAGTTTTGGGGTGTAGTGTGCTCAGTGCTGCAACTAATGCGAAGGTCAGTGGTTTGAGTCCACCTGCTGCTCTGTGGGAGAAAGATGGACAGTGCCCTCCTATAGAGATGGACGGTCTGGGAAGCAGATGGAGGGTCCCCGTGAGTGACCGGCGAGGGCAGTGGGTTTGGTTTTGCTGCTGTTCAGCTGCGGTGTAAGCACTGCTGAGTTCAGGCACTCATGCACAACACGACTGGGCAGGACACCGAGCTCTCCCTCTAGGTCACAAAGCCTTCTGCTTGGGAAGGGGACCTGTCCTGGCACTCGGACTCCTGCCTGACGCTCCCTCCCCTCGACACCCCAGGAAGATAGACCAGTCCTGGCACTTGGACCCCCACCTGACGCTCTGTCCCCTGAACACCCCGAGACCCCTGCCTGATGCTCCCTCCCCTGGACACCCCAGCAAGGAGACCTGTCCCGGCTCTTGGACCCCGGTCTGATGCTCCGTCCCCTCGACACCCCGGGCAGGGGACCTGTCTGACACTCCCTCCCGAGGACCCCAGGCTTGGCTGTTCTCTCTAGAGGTCAGGAGCACCCTGGCTTTGGGGCAGCCTGCTGGGGGCCTCACCTTGTTCTTGCTGCTCTCGCAGGACTGCAGGCTGGCCAGGATCTGGCTCTCGATGGCCTGGACCCACGCGTCTCTCTCTTCATACGTGGTGGCTTCAAAATGCCACGTCTGACCAGTGAGGGAGACAATGGTGAACTCAAAGTTCTCTTCTTGTTCTGAAACACAGAGAGAGGGGTGAAGGTTGGCCTTTCAGGAGACAGCGGCCACCCTGCCAGAGTCCAGGATGACATCACGCCCACTGGGGGGACATGAGGGACCAAGCCAGAACCCAGACTGCACACGCACAGGCGGTCCAGGGGAGCGGCTACTTTCTTCACTGGGGTCTCTGGTGGGAAGCACAGAGCATCTTAAGTGAGAAGGTCTACGGGGACATTTTACAGCAGGGTCCATTAGAATGGGCAGTAGGCGGGTGTCATCAGATTTAAGCTGGCAGTGAGCATGGGGCAAGTGTGGAGTGGAGAGGCCTTGGTGGGACAAGAAGGCCACTGTGGGCGACAGCTGTCTACAAGAGTAACTCTTTCACGTAGCTACATCTGGGGCTTTGGACGTGCTCAGCCTCTCTGAGACTCATTCATCTTATCCATAAAATGGGACCAAGCTTCAATGAAAAGCCTCAGTGAGGTTGGCACAGGGCCTGGCCACAGGGCATAAACCCTGCACACCCACCCTGGAGGCGACGTCACACACAGCCCGTCCTCGGGGCCAGGGAAGAGCTGCTTCCGATGGTTTTCAGTGACTGTTTCTAGAAAGCTGATCACCAAGTCTTTCTTCCAAAGCACCTTTGAGTGGACTTAAACTGATAACCTTCTTGTTAGCACCAAACCCAACGCTGGCCACCCACTTCTGAAAAAGCAGGCTCTGAAACCCCTCAGGGGCACAGCCCACCCTCTGCCCATGATGAGAATGAGTCAGGAGGCCTCGCTGTTCACAGAGGAGCTCAGCCCATGGGGGGGCAGCTGATCCCCTCGGTCCTCAACAGCTCTGCCTCTACCGCTGAAAACTGTGGCTGACTCTGAGAAGAATGGGAATCCCAGAACACTTGACGGTGCTAATGAGAACCCTACACTTGAACCAAGAGGCAGTGGCCAGAACAGAGCAGGGCAACACTGCATGGTTCAAAATTGGGAAGGGCGTACTCCAGGGATGTGTCCTATCTCCATACCTTTTCAACTTGTGTGCAGAACAGATTATCCGGGAGGCTGGGCTCTATGAGGAGAAGTGTGGGGTCAGGATTGGTGGAAGATCTATCAACAATCTGCGTTATGCAGATGATACAATACTGCTTGCTGAAACTGAGGAGGACCTGAAATGCTTGCTGCAGAGGGTCAAGGACTGCAGCCTTCACTATGTCTTCTTGACATTGAGCCTCAGTCCAAAGATTCTCACCACTGGACCAACTGGCAGCATCAGGATGGATGGTAAAGAGCTTGAGATTGTTCACAGCTTTAGTTTGCTTGGCTCCATAGTCAACAGTCTTAGCACCAGTAGCCAGGAAATTAAAAGACATATTGCCATGGGAAAGCCTGCTGTTAGGGACCTCTCCAAAGTACTGAAGAGCAATGGTTTCTCTCTGGAGACTAAGTTGCGTCTGATACAGACCATGGTCTTTGCTATCACTTGTTATGCATCAGAGAGTTGGACAATGACTAGGAAGGATAGAAAGAGAATTGATGCCTTTGAGCTGTGGTGCTGGAGAAGAGTATTGAGGGTACCATGGACTGCTAGGAAAACAACAGATTCATCCTGGAAAGGGTCAAACTGGGCAGCTCCTTGGAGGCAAGGATTCTGGGGCTTCGTATGACACACTTTGGACATGGTGTAAGGAGAGACCGGTCCTTGGAGAAGGACATCATACTTGGGAGGGTGGAGGGATAGTGCAGGAGGGGAAGACCCTCTATCAGGTGGATTGATTCAGTGACTGGGGTAATCAGGATGGGTGTGACAGAGGCAGTGATTGGCACAGGATAGAGCAGAGTTTAGAGCTGTTGTACATAGGGCCGCTATGAGTCGCAAGCGACTCGACAGCACATAACAACAACAACAACATCTGCTTCCCGAGTCCTGCAGATTGAGTGGTCAGAGCTCAGAAAGGGAGGGGGACCAGCAACTCCACCCCGGCCTCCCCGCCTGTAGGCTCATGTACAGATGGCCTGTGTTTACACGGAAGCACAAGATTCCCCACCCGCTGCAGGCAAGGTGGGTAGTGAATGGGGGCGACGCAGAGCCCAGAGATGCCCCAACATGAGGGGCTTTGTTGGGATTTTCATTTAAAAATTGAGTGTGATTTTCTAACAGTTTCCCCACAGCTGATCTGCAATTATTGGTTGAGGAACTAACTCCATCTGATGATGAAAAGGAAGTGTCCGGAGCAGCGGGTCTTTCTGTGCTAAGGTCTGTGCGACAGCTTCTGTGGACCCTACTGTCATAAGCAAGCCCCCTGATGCTGTCTGTCCTGGTGAGTGGGTACACAGGGTGAGGAAAAGCCACGCTCAGGGAGGCCCGGGGGCTCACGGGCACTGGAACCACCCGTCAGGAGGGCTGCAGGGGCCCAGGGTTTAACGTGGAATCAGCACGCCCGTGGACAAGCCCCTGATCATCACGCGGGAGATCCTCGAACGAGAAAATCGGAACCATTCCTCCACCAGGGAGTTTCGGTGCAGGCGACTGTCACACGGCTGTGCTGCCCAGATACGGAACCAGGGCCCAACTGACCCACCAGGCAGAGAGGGAGGAGGGACAGAGCAGGCTTCGGTGTGGGGGGCTCGGCGGTGCATCTCAGGGGACCCCGTGGTGGGCTGGGTCCACGAGGAGGAGATCGTAGCAGACAGCTGTGTTCTCCACAGGTCTGTGCAGGATGGGGGTGCAGTGTGCACGTGGATGACTGGAGATGCCCTCAGACAGGTTCCAGGTCTCTGAGGACTGTGGTGCATGGGGTTACTTCTGCCCTCCCCGATGCATGGGGCCACCTCTGCCTCCCCCCAAGGCAACAACTGTGTACAGTCGCACTTCCCACATCTCACGGAAAGGCAGGACTTTGATATTAAATTACTAAACTTCATTTTGGTTTGTCCATTAACTAAGTGAAGAGAATTAACCAATGAATACAAAATCCACTCAAGAGAGGGAACATATAAACTCATTCCTTGGGGGCGGACCGGCGCCTCCCATGGGACCTACGCTGTGACTCCTCCATGATCTTCAACACCTTCATCACAACCACCACCTGCTTCCACTGCACCGTGCTCTCCTCTCACCAGACCTCAGTGAGCACAATACAGTCAGTCACTGAAGGTTCTGGTGCCCCAGTCATATGGAAGGTGTGCTGACATTACACTGTCGTCTACTAACCATGCAGTTATTGTGACAGAAAACATTGAAACACCATGGGAATCACCAAACTGTGACCCAGCTACGTGTAGTGAGACGTCACTTCCAACTCTACAGGAAAAATGGCCCCGGTGCAGTTGGTGAATTTATTAAAACACATCATGTGTTTTAATAAATGGTGAATTTATTAAAACACATCATGTGAGAAGTACAAACAAAGAAAGGAAGCCTGCCCTCGAGAATCCCTCCTCTAGTACCATCTGGTGGTACAACACTTAAGCACTCGGCTCTGGTTGAAGACTGACAGTTGGAGTTGACCAGCAGCTCTGCAGGGGAATGACCTAGGCATTGGCCCTTGATGGGTTACGGTCTAGAAAACCTCCATGAAGTCTACCCACAAGACCACCACCAGTCATAACAGACGCGACGGCACCTCATGGTAACAACCGAATTGGAGCTGACTCATGGCTGACCCTCCAGTGGCTTTTCAGAGGCAGTGAGGGAACAGGCTGTCCATCTTTCTCCCTTGGAGGAGCTGGGGATTTGAACTGTGTGCCTCTGGGTTCGCAGTGCAGGTCCTCACCACAAGGTCACGCGAGATCCCCACCATAACAACCACGTTGTTCTATTTTTCTGTGTCTCCTTTCATCCTGGTCCCTTGCCTCCCTCTCTCCTTCAGCACCTGCCGGCTGTGGGGTGGGCTCTGTGGTCCTCACTCAATCCTGAACTCCACGTCCCACAGACTCGTGACTGCTGTGCAGGGCACGCAGCCACCTGGAGGCGCTGTGGTCTAACCTCACCTTGGAGGCCGCCTCTTCTCGTCACCCCTTCACGTTTTACACTTTAAAGTTCTTAACAGGCAGCTGTGCTCCCACCTCTGTGGTTCTGTCAAGTCAATTCCAACCTGCAGTGACTGGGTGTGACAGCAGATGGTCCGCAGGGTGGACTTGGCTGTGACCTTGTGGGAGACACTGGCAGGTCCTTCTCCTGCAGAGAGGCTGATGGGCTTGAACTGCTGACCCCTTGGTTAGAACCACCTACTTAAACGTTGGCCCACGTTCTCCGCTCTCTTCCACGTGTAGCTGCTCGTCGGCTGCTGGGGGAGTCACTTTGCTGCCAACTGCAGCCACCGAAGTGTTAGAACCGGCGGACCATGGCAGCCCCGCGCTGGGTGAGTCTGCTGGTGCTGTTTTCCTAACAGGATGAGTTCACATCAAGTCTCTGTGCCACAGCTTGGTTATATGGACAATAGCACAAACTTTTTCATCACATGTGGCTTCTCGTTGCTGTGGTCGTTAGGGGCTGTTGAGTATCAGTCCTATCGACCCAGTGGACATCACACCTGAATCCCATCCTGTCCTGTGCCATCCACACAGTCTCTGACACACGGAGCCGTGGGCTGCAGTCAATGGGTCAAGAACCTTAGTGATACAGAACTGTGATGTCAACTCAAAAGTACGCTGTTCGAATCCACCAGCTGCTCTGGAGGAGAAAGATGGGCAGTCTCTTCCCCTGACATTTTCTGCCTGTGAAAATCCTAGGAGGGTCAGCTCCAACTTGATGGCACACAACACAAAAACGGCACAGGACGGGGAGCTCTGGTGGCTTACTGGCAAGAAGCTGTGTTGCCAACACAAAGGCACATAGTTCGCAGTTACTAGCTGCTGTGAAGGAGGATGGGCCATCTCCTCCCATGTGCTTAGCTGCCTCTGAAAGCCTGCTGGAGGGTCAGCTAGGGGTTTGTTCTGACTCGAAAGTACACAGCACCATGGGACAGGACAGGACAGAGTTCAGATCCATTGTTCATAGGATGGCTCTGTGTCACAGT